CCGCGGGCGCCCTGGGCCCCGCTCGCCAGACTCATTTAAAATCATTTAAAAGCCCTGCATCTCAGCCTCTAACCAAATAAAAAACAATTAAACCCTTGTTTTAAAAGTTTTTAATACCTATTTCTATAATATTGATCTTCTATATTTATACACACAGATATAATGCATAACAGATATTAAAGTACATTACTATCTATCTGTATAGCTTTCATACTGATTATTAATTTACTTGTCCAGATTTGGATTACTGGTATTTATTTCTTTTTTATGGTCTATCTATCTATCTATCTATCTATCTATCTATCTATCTATCTATCTATCTATCTATCTCCCTATATTCATTTCTTTATTATAGATGTGTATATTTTCATTTCTATATCATTCACTTAAATGCCCTGCCTCTAAGCCTCTAACCAAATAAAAAACCAAAAGTCCCTTCATTTAACTCTTTGTAATATTTATTTCTATCATATTGAACTTCTTTATTTATACACATAGATATAATACATACCAGATATTAAAATATATTATATTAGCATCTATCCATATAGTTTTCATACTGAATATTAATCTGCTTTTCTAGATTTAGATTACTTGTATTTATATCTTTTTTATGGGTCTCCATATATATATATCACCCTATATTTATTTCTTTATTATAGATGTGTATATTTTCATTTCTATATTATTGATTTAAATGCCAGGCCTGTAACCAAATAAAAAACAATAATCCCCTTCATTTAAAAATTTTTAATATCTATTTTTATCATATTGATCTTCTTTATTTATACATACAGATATATTGCATAATAGATATTAAAATTTATTATATTAACATCTACCCATATAGTTTTCATACTGAATATTAATCCACTTGTGTAGATTTGGATTACTTGCATAGACAACTTTTTTATGGCTACATATATAAATATATATCTATCTCCCTATATTTATTTCTTTATTATAGATGTGTATATTTTCATTTCTATATTATTCATTTAAATGCCGTGCCTGTAACCAAATAAAAACCAGTAATTCCCTTGATTGAAATATTTATATCTATTTCTATAATATTGATTTTCTTTATTTATACACACAGAGATATAATGCACAACAGATATTAAAATACATAACCATCTCTCCATATATTATTCATCTTGAATATTAACCAGCTTGTCTAGATATAGATAATTTCTATTTATTTCTTTTTTATGGCTATATCTCTTTATCTCTCTATCTCTCTCTTCTCTCTATCTCCCTATATTTATTTCTTTATTATAGATGTGTATATTTTCATTTCTGTATTATTCATGTAAATGCCCTGCCAGTAACCAAATAAAAAACAAAAATCCATTTGATTTGAATATTTTTAGTATCTATTTATATCGTATTGATCTTCAATATTTATACACACAGATACGTTGCATAATAGATATTAAAATTTATTATATTAACATCTACCCATATAGTTTTCATACTGAATATTAATCTACTTGTCTCGATTTGGATTACTTGTATAGATAACTTTTTTATGGCTACATATATAAATATATATCTATCTCCCTATATTTATTTCTTTATTATAGATGTGTATATTTTCATTTCTATATTATTCATTTAAATGCCCTGCCTCTAAGCCTCTAACCAAATAAAAAACCAAAAGTCCCTTCATTTAACTCTTTGTAATATTTATTTCTATCATATTGAACTTCTTTATTTATACACATAAATATAATACATACCAGATATTAAAATATATTATATTAGCATCGATCCATATAGTTTTCATACTGAATATTAATCTAATTTTCTAGATTTAGATTACTTGTATTTATTTCTTTTTTATGGGTCTCCATATATATATATCACCCTATATTTATTTATTTATTATAGATGTGTATATTTTCATTTCTATATTATTGATTTAAATGCCAGGCCTGTAACCAAATAAAAAACAATAATCCCCTTCATTTAAAAATTTTTAATATCTATTTTTATCATATTGATCTTCTTTATTTATACATACAGATATATTGCATAATAGATATTAAAATTTATTATATTAACATCTACCCATATAGTTTTCATACTGAATATTAATCTACTTGTCTCGATTTGGATTACTTGTATAGATTTCTTTTTTAAGGCTGTGTATATATATATCTATCTCCCTATATTTATTTCTTTATTATAGATGTGTATATTTTCATTTCTATATTATTCATTTAAATGCCAAGCCTGTAACCAAATAAAAACCAGTAATTCCCTTGATTGAAATAATTATATCTATTTCTATAATATTGATTTTCTTTATTTATACACACAGAGATATAATGCACAACAGATATTAAAATACATTACCATCTATCCGTATATTTTTCATATTGAATATTAACCAGCTTGTCTAGATATAGATAATTTCTATTTATTTCTTTTTTATGGCTATATCTCTTTATCTCTCTATCTCTCTCTTCTCTCTCTATCGATCTCCCTATATTTATTTCTTTATTATAGTATTTATTTCTTTATTATAGATGTGTATATTTTCATTTCTGTATTATTCAGGTAAATGCCCTGCCAGTAACCAAATAAAAAACAAAAATCCATTTGATTTAAATATTTTTAGTATCTATTTATATCGTATTGATCTTCAATATTTATACACACAGATATGTTGCATAATAGATATTAAAATTTATTATATTAACCTCTATCCATATAGTTTTCATACTGAATATTAATCTACGTGTCTCGATTTGGATTACTTGTATTTATTTCTTTTTTAAGGCTGTGTATATATATATATATCTATCTCCCTATATTTATTTCTTTATTATAGATGTGTATATTTTCATTTCTATATTATTCATTTAAATGCCAAGCCTTTAAATAAAAACCAAAAAGCCCCTACATTTAAATATTTGTAAAATTTATTTCTATCATATTGATCTTCTTTATCTATACACATAGATATAATACATAACCGATATTAAAATATATTATATTAGCATCTATCCATATAATTTTCATACTGATTATTTCTTGTCTAGACTTGGATTACTTGTATTTATTTCTTTTTTATGGGTCTCGCTATATATATATATATATATATATATATATCTTGGATTACTTGTATTTATTTCTTTTTTATGGGTCTCGCTATATATATATATATATATATATATATATCACCCTATATTCATTTCTTTATTATAGATGTGTATATTTTCATTTCTATATTATTTATTTAAATGCCCTGCCTCTAAGCCTCTAACCAAATAAAAAACCAAAAGTCACTTCATTTAACTCTTTTTAATATCTATTTCTATCATATTGAACTTCTTTATTTATACACATAGATATAATACATACCAGATATTAAAATACATTATATTAGCATCTATCCATATAGTTTTCATACTGATTATTAATCTACTTGTCTCGATTTGGATTACTTGTATTTATTTCTTTTTATCTCTCTCTCTCTATATAGAGCTATCTAGCTTCCCTATATTTATTTATGTATACATTTATTTCTCTTTCTAATATTCTGCTTTTTGAAATTTGCATTTCTTTCTCTTGGAAACTCTCCAAATTCATTCAGCTAACACGTCAGAATGACAAAAATATAAATCCCTACTCAACCCCGACTTCAGAACGCGCTCGTCTCTATGGAACTTAGGCACAGAAATTTCTCTCGGTGCATTTTAATACCTCAGGGATGCACACATGTGTTTTATACACTCCCATTTTACAGGGAAGTAAGAGGTGAAAAAACAAAACCCACTTTCTTAATCCTCAGCTGTTCCTGACATAACAAAACCCTAACGACGGAGTGCACAGAGAGGGGGTTCCTTTCCAAGGGAATTTAGAGAGGTCAATTCCTGTTCCGTGCCAATACCTACCGTAAAAACCAGAACAAACCCACAGGTTTTTGGATTCTGCACCCAGCCCTCCCAGGGAATTTCCTGGCAGCTCGGGGTCCCCTCTGGGCAAGGGTACCCAGCACGAGCCCTCCCCGTTCCCCGCTCACCTTGCTCCTCCAGCGCAGTGTGTCCCTCCCTCTGGTGGGGACCTCGGTGCGCCCCAAGGGACATGGGAGCCCCCCAGTCTCCATCCCGTCCCCCTCAGCCTTTGCTCCTCACCCCCAAAGAAGGCAGAGAACAACTCCAACTGCCGAGGACAGCAGCA